ATGTAAAGCCATGGTGCACCTTCAGTGGTTAGTTCTGAATGTGAGCCACATCCGCTCAGCTACTTTTTTAGATCAACTTTCCGATGTGAGAGACAATTGGTTTCACACGAAGGCCAGAATAAACTTCACTTTGATTAGTTGAACATATTGAATAAAATAGAATAAATAAAAACTAATGTCTGTGTTCATACTATTGAATTATTGTATAAAAACACAATTCTATAGTAATTCTGAAACATTTCATGCCAAGTACATTAGAAGAGGTAGGCTTTCAGTTCTTCCTACTTCCCAGACACTTTCCCCGTCATCCTAAATATTGATCATCAATTCTAGAAAGCAGCAAAAACATGAAATGCTTCAAACTCTTTATTGCCTCAGGTTTACAGTAAGAAATCACAAAAAACTTTACTGATTCGGTGTTAAAAATCAAGCAAAGTTCTATGAGAAAGAAGAAATTATGATGTTCTTTTAAACTCCACATCCAGCGATGTACGAGCTCAGGTCTCGGCCCTGACAGTGACGCTGCCATGCCACCCTGTAAAAACAGAAAGAGAAAATCAGTAAGTGTTACAGTGGCAGAGTAGTTATCCTGTCTCCTCCTCTCAGTGAGGAGGTTGTGGGTGAGACCTCTGATCTCTGACATTTTATTACTTTCCCTTTATATTTTAAAACAAAGTGTTCTGGTTGTAAATAAGACTCTGGTTTATGATTGGTTGGTTGTGGTCACATGACTCACCAGGCTGAGACTCCATTGGGGTCCCGCACGACTCGTTTGGCGCATTCAATGGCAACAGACGGGTCATCGCTGAGAAGAGCTGATGAAAAAAAAAGATGAGATACACATAAATGAAAACTCTAACATGTTTGGCTCTGCTCCCTCCACACCTGGGTCCTGCTCTAGTCCAAGCTAAGGCCTGTTTAGTCCTGGTTTAGACCAATTACATTTTGATCTGTTTTATGCATCTTTTCAAAAACTTATTCCTTGGTTTAGAACTTATCTAGTGTTGGGTGGGATCAGATTGCATCCCCATTTAACCCTAATTTTTATATTGTGTTCTATATGGACCCATTAGAGTCTAAAACAAAGCTTGACTGATTGATTATCACCAGTGCAATTCAGTAGACTTAGCTAACAAACAGGAAATAAACAAGTACTGTAGGTGTGTTAGTTTCAGAGCTGTGAAACGTCTTTGATGAAACACTTTTGTCCATTTGGCAGAATTGAATTCTCTCTTTGCTATTAGAAGTAGTTTCATTGCAATAGTACCTGTGGCAGCAGGATTTTAAGTAGCAGAAGTAGTAGAAGTAACAATAGTTGGAGTAAAAGTAAAATCATGATCCAATAGTCTTTCCAAACCCTCAAAGTCACTTAACATTTTCATTTCATACAGGCACTGACAAGGTAGTAGGTGTAGTAGGAGTAGTAGTAGCAGTAGTAGTTGCCGAGTTGCAGTAGCCGCAGTACTGAGTTTTACCTGAGCATTGGATTCCACAGCCATTGGAGGAGCTCACTCCTCCATCTCTACACCACCATCTGCTGTTGATCTGGAAAATGCCGTAGTCTGTGGAGCCGTCTGTGTTCCTGTTTGTGGCTCTGGTGTTGTAGTTAGACTCGTGTTGAGTCAGACACACCCCTGAAGAAACAAGGGCTACTTAAATATTGCACAAAACTGTAATTATATTAACAGGACATTATATGGACATATGTAGACAGATTTTGTCCAGTTGCAGAGCTAAGTTAAAACTGGAACAAAACTTGGACTAGACTAGAACAGAATCCAATCAGGTTTACATTAGAACTAAACTGAGCTAAAACCAGAATCAAAACAGGAACACACCCTTAGTCCTGCTCTAGAACTTGTTTATTCCTGCTCCATATTCCTGCTGGATATTTCTAGTTGTTGTTTAGTCCTGTTTTAGTCCTATAGTCTAGTCCTATTTTAGTCCATGGTCCAGGCCGCTCCAAGTCCTAGTTTAGTCCTGTTTTACTCTCACAGTCTGCCAGAGTCTCTTCTTTAGTCTAGTCCTCCTAGTCCTGGTTTCATCCTAACCTTGTCTTATTTTAGTCCTAGTTTAATCCTGGTTTAATTCAGATCTAGTCCTAATTTTTAATCTTGGTGTAGACCTGGTCTAGTCCTAGATTAGTCCTGGTCTGATCTTGATTTAGTCCTGGTTTAGTCCTGGTTTTGCACTTACATTCTGCCAGGCTCACTTCTCTGTAGTTGTGCATCCCTTTGCTCTTCAGGAGTCGAGCCCATGTGCATCTGTCAAAGACTTTTCCCTGTGCCACGGCACAGAGCAGCACCAGCAAAACCACACCCTGCATCTTCATCTCCATCAAGTAGACTGAACCAGGACCACACCAGGACTGAACCAGACCTGAGTCCAGA